TCTCCTGAGTTCACCACATCAAGTGGTGTCCGACAGGGCTGTCCTCTTTCCCCTTTCCTCTTCAACTTTGTCATTGATACGATCATGGAAGACTCACTACGAGCCTCAAAAGTATGAGATGGCCCAAGTAGTTAGAGCGCGAACTTACTGACCGGAAGTTCCCTGGTTCGAACTCGAACTCTGCCTCTCGACTTCCTCTGTCTAGGCTGGGCAACCTGGCAGTATCCCAGCCCTCGTGCTTCCTTTGGGTGGAAAGGTGTTACAGCTGAACGAGTTATTTTGTTTTATTATCTAATGCCTGTGAGGTGGAAGTGCTCCCGGGTGAGTTGACAGTCCTACCGTCAGTTTTACACCCTAGGTATAGGGCGTCCAATTAACTTGGCACGAGGTGGCATTAACCATGCTGTGTGAGGGTTCAACGGAAACCGACACCCGTGTGTGAATGTGATGAGAGAATAGCTGTAGACTTGTATAATAAGGGAAAAAGAAATCATGATATAAGAACGACACGTCCTTATTTTGGAACCGAAACTGATATGCATTAATAGTAATATAACAAAAGTCATAGTCGTGCGCTTGAGCGTCTTCCCTGAAATAACGTCTGGCACCCATAACGACATATCAGCCTGCGCATCTACGTCTCCTAAGCGTGATGGCTCAGCGGTTAGAGCGCGAATCTACTGATCGAAAGGTCGGTGTTCCGGATTCGACGTCTGCCTCTCGACTTCTCCTGTCTAGGCTTGAACGACCCGGCAGTATCCCAGCCCTCGTGCTTCCTTCTGGTGACATGGCAGCTAAGCACCGAAAGAATGTTACAACTCAACGATTATCTTTTATTATTTCATCATCTTTCTCCTACGCGTAGCACTGGATCGACCTGCGCCAAGGAACACGCCTAGTCATACCAGTCGCCTCCAGTGTGCAGCTATCTACATCATCTCACTATCATCGGTGAACGAAACTGTGGCAATTATAGCCATTGTACGACAAGTACGTGGTTTTTACAGCTGATGATGATGATGATCAACCGGCCGACGCAGCGCCATTTATCAGAGCCGCAACATCACTGGTGGTAAAATAAAAACCAATAACACAATCAATGACGCAAGCGTTATTGACATGACACGCCTGCCGCGTTACGACACCGCGAGCTTACTCAGCAGTAGGTGGTCGTCGGTACAACCTGGAACTTTCATAGAATGCATACTGACGGGGAAAGGCGCGGAAGTGCCATCAGTATCTTGAAGGCAATTTTTAGCTGTCTTGCATTCCATGAAACAGGGTCATGCAAAGAAATCGCAGCATCTGATACTGGTCAACCGCCATTCAGAACTGAAACAGTAGGACTGAAAGATTCGACCGGCAGTTATAACAGTGTAGGGAGGACAAACATCATTCACCAATTCCTTTTGGTGTTCCAATCATCTAGGCCAAGCTAATTAAGTTGGAAAATGATCAATATATGGGGGATATGTTTCTGGCAACTTAGTGTCCGAAAGAAATATGTTCGGATTCAGATTTATAACCGACTGGATTCGTTTGCATTGATTTTGGTCAGTCCAACTGGGAGGTCCATCCAGGTAGAAATTATGGCATTTTATGATCCACTGTTTGTTCAATTGGTCAACTTTTTGATGAATATCAACAGACAACTTTCAGGAACACAACATCCTGGCCAAGGATCCACTTGGTAATAAGGCTTTTTCTAATGCGTAAAATTTAGATTATTCTTCCCACCCTAATAGTCCCGTCCCTCCATCGGTTCGACCAAATTTATTCATTTTCCCAAGCCCTTTTCATACAAAATGAGCACGAACACAAAAGGTGCTTTTGTCAGTCGACAGCGAACAACATAAGTTGGAACATAGGAAACACTACGCGTACAGAAAATCAAGACGTTTTGACCAAAATTATCACGGCGCCAGGAACAAGAAAATCGGTAATTCCTATTGGGAAGATTCAGGCACTTTAGCGTTGAATGCAACGTAGATGACCTATATTGAAAGGGCGACAGTACAACGGGAGATACAGTAAAAAAAAGCCGCCTGGGCTAGTTCCCAGACTACGTAAGACCAGCATCCCATAGTAATGAATGGCAGCATTTTTCAGGTAGACTATGTTTCGCTGAAACACGAATATTGAATAACATTTGGTTGTGTTTTCATGAGGCAACAAAGTGTGACTGAATAACTTTCGGCAAACGCACGATGTCAGGAACGGGCAAACGACAGTGTTTTACAAGTTCCAACTTTAAAAGATTGCTGTACAAATTGTTTGTCGACTTAGTTTTGGTCGTGACAGTATATTAGACAGCATGAGGTTCATGTAGAGAAGGTTTGTGAGAATTGTGCGAAGGGTGGCGACAGAGAAACTCCAACCATGATCATCACAATCATTATCTGTTTACTTGTTCAACTGGAAACTGTTCAAACTAACAGCTTTTATGAGCAAGCAAGGATATGTAGTTGTCCTGAGAAGCTACAAGGTAATGTGCGGTTTGAGAATTCGTAAAGGGGACAATGTTTTCTATGAAGAAAGTGAAAACATTTACGTACACCACTAAACTTACAGTGGTATCTGTTCGTCTTTTTCCTTTTCAGAGCTGGCTACACCTTCAAAATCATGGACGGTGCGTGACGGACGGGGCGGTAAAGGTGGAGGCCTATTGCATGAAGAGGATGCCGCCACCATGATCGCTGGCTGGAGACTGGATTCGCTGACGAGATTGGTCGAGGATGCGGGACGACAAAACAGGCTCTGAGTCATTGGGGTACCTTCATCTTGCACGGATAGTAAATCAAGACAGCTGGCAACTGTCTGTATTTCGGCCGAGGGCGAAAGAAATAAATTGGATTGGTCTATGTCCGAATTTTTGATTGCCGAGTGAAGAGGGGATGCCGTGGTTGAGTACGAGGCAATTTGCGGCATGTTCCTCATATCATCATAACTACGAGAGTCCGAATTCTCCTGAATGGCTTTTCGATTCGCTTCGCCCAAGGGATACGTGATGTTAGGAGCCGGTGGTCGTCTTGGAGGAGGAAGTGGCTGGGTATTCCCCGTACGATCATCTCCCACTAAGAAAGCGCGTTGGTAAAATGTCATGTTTGCATTCAGAATAGTGTTAAAACGTATAATGAACCAACAGACCAAAGACTAAGTCTGCTGCTAAGCCTACAGAGGACGACTTGTTCCAATTTGCATACTATCAAGAGCCGGCTTAAAAATGTTGTTATCTGAGCTACCTCACCTGTGTAACAACTAACTACAAATAACCAGAGATTTACAAGAACACTATTACACTTATGCAGGTAGGGCTGATGATGAATTCACAACTCAACCAAGAAAACCACACGAATGGATTTCTACATTTGGCGCGAAAACAACAAGACATGACCAGTGAGTGCACCTTACATAGACGGAGGATTATGAACAGGATATTCATTTGAAACTGTGAGGCTCGACTTTCCGAAGAACCAGCTTAACCCCAGTTTTAACGACATTGCTGGTGTCACTCGCGCTTCGTCGTCTTATTGTCACTCGTGAATCGCCGACTCGAGAGCAACGAATGGGGTTTTGGCCTAGAAGGGGTTGAGTTGACCAAATCTTCACAACTCATCAGGTGGTAGAACAACGTCATACGTACAAACGACCCACGATTCTAGTATTCCTAGATTTCCGAGGCGCATTCGACTCGGTTGATCGGTCTGTTCTCCTTGATACGCTTACCCATCAGGGAATGTCCCGGAAGTATGCGAACATAATACGTTCTTTGTATTCTCAGACTTCCGGACGTGTGAGAGTATACGGAGAGCTCTCTTGCGCACACAAAGCGGTGTCCATCAAGTAAATCATGGGTATACGGCAGCGAAGCACCATTATTGAACACTGATATCATGCTGTCCATGATGATGGTGCTGATGATCAAGTGTGGTATTCCAATATTGTGTTCACTTTGTCCTTGTGACGTAGTACAACGATCACTAACAAGATGTCTGTTAGGTCTACCACGCTATTCGAAGACCTACAAAATGCACTACTGGCAAGTGCGAGGACCCAAGGTGAAAACATACCTAAATAGATCAAGGGATGACAGACACACGTTTTGTAAGGGATTTTGATAATTTCGATTTATGACTGATCTTTGACTGAGTAAATGTGATTCCCCGGGAAAAATGACCTTTTTCAGTTGATATGCAGTAAACCTAAATAGTGGGCACAGCAGGCATAACAAACCTTCCAGGGTGTTTCACTCCGACTGCATGTCACATAGGAAACGGAAATATTTGTCATATTAACCCTGATTCTACACATCAAAATTAATTTACTCGTAGGCTAGTACGAGGTAATTAGTCGGGATCGCTAGAGCAGCAAGTGAAAAAAATTGCCAGTTTGTGTTGGGTGAGAGGCGTACTGATTTTGTTCAACCATTGTCTCTCAAAGAAAGCTGTATTTTTTGGACCAAATCCTAACGGGTGAAACGTTTATGAAGCAAGACCGTAGCGTTGTGAAATCAAAGCGCCCCCTGATAACTTGAACATTCTGGGGACCTCGAACCCATGTAGCCTATTCCAGTGACAAGTGTGCCGCCGCTACGTTACCGGACTGTCTGCCTTAGGTATTGATTGTTGGAGAATCTTGGGGCAACACCGCTGAGAGCGTTTTACTTCGACACAGCGCCCAAACGTTTTGCGGAGTGCTGCTAGAGGATGTGAGCATTATGCTCTTGGACATTTTACAGGGACATGTGTTTTTGCGATGGGTTCCCGTTCTTCCCTTTTTGTATTTCCCGCATTAGTGTACGGCAGTCAATCCTCAATACCCACTGCGTTTGTTTTGCTGTCCGTGACGATGATAACGCTGACGATGGACACCACAGAGCAGTCGAGGTGACGCGACACCGAAACACAAATTACTCGTACAGTTTCTTCGTAAACGCTTCTACGAAACGTAATATCCTAAAGTGCACAAAGACCCAGAGCGAATAAGGGAAATGTATTTGTTAGGAGTGATGGATAAGATGAGCTTACACAGTGTGAATTCGAAGCATGGGTGAAACGTCCAACCGCTGTTCTATACGTCTGCAATGTTAACATTAGATTCGTTGGGTGGCGGCACACTAAGGAGAGTAACACTCGCCTGACAATGCAGCTGACAGAACCCAATTAAGCCAGGGAAGGCCACAAAGGGGTCCACAACCTAACGATCGGTCATGCACAAAATCGGGTCCTAATAGGCAATTCATTGTTATTTGACAGTTATGGAACAAGTTAAGCATAGTAGAGGTCAAAAATACTGTAACTTATCAGATGTATCATCAACTTGTCGAGCCTAGACAAGAGCCAAGTACGAAGACGGCTTTGTCCACGGTTTGTATGGTTCTTCGGATTTCAACCGAAAATGACGTGAAAGTCCACACGACAACCATTGTTCATCATTGCTTAATTCTTTTTCAGTAACAGAATACGATGTAGCCTACAAATTAACCGTCCAATTTCACTAAAAGTCAAACTAAAGAGGACATGCAAATGCATCCGGTACGGCGCGGAAATGAAAGAGGATCCTCTCTCATCAGTGTACAAGCGACTTAATCAGAATGCTTAAAAAAAAGGTTACGCGAACAACCAAGACAAGGAAGCAGACCATATCGTTTGCTAGGCAGACTGAAGCTGTGTGAACAGCCAGTTAGTCGTCATATCCCATTTATCTGTAGCGATCCACGTGACCTCTGATTTTCGAACACTAAATCGCTACCATAACTGTGCTGTAGCTGAGTGTCTCCGGAAAGACTAGAAATGAGTTGTTGCCGAAAAAGCGACAGATCATCGATCTTGGAAGGCATTTAATTATTTAATGATAACCAAAGCAGGATCCTAGAACAACTAACGCAGTCGCTGCAAACGAGTTGTCAGGATGAACAGCTATGTTGTGGATAGTTTTCCCCACACTAACTCCAGTATGTTAAGCTTGTCATGAAAATTGTGTTCACATCACTCGTGTCTGAACAATCTCCTTCCTGTCCTAGCGCGGTTTCCATGGTTCGTTCACACCAAAAAGGTGAAGCACTGGACTCGAGCTTATTCGGCATCAACACTGTTTGGTCGTGTCAGGTCTTGAACCCCTTTCCGCCCGCTCATGTTGGCAGAATCTCCATGGTCACGTGCGAACACTTAAAGGTATTTGCACTCTGGACGGTTGGTTTGACTGCCGCCTGCCACAACCTTCCCCCCGTGAGGTAGTGCCAAAAAAGCTAAAAGTGGCTTTATGACTGTAACCACCAAGAAGCTATGAAGTTGTTCCCAATGAAATTGACACGTCCCAACTTAAAATGGCATTGCAGTTTGCTCAATAAATAGTGCAAACACAAGTCACTTTCCCCGATTCGCAAGGGCATCACCAGATAATCTAACACGGTTCCTCCACATCCTAAGTATAGACATCCAACATACCGAATCCAACTCACCAAGAGACACATCTCTTCATCGCGAAGTTAGTCTCCATGACGTACACGTTTGCCTAATTGTGAAGTGGTAGCAACAAACTGCAGCTTACTTCCAGTTTGTCGAGAATAACGTCTCTCAGCATTGCATAAACAATGCCGTCCACCATAAATTCATGCAAATCAGACAAAACCTATGCACTTCGAAGTGACAACCTTGAAGCCCCAATAAAAATGCCAAAGTAAAGATGAGGTGCTCAAAAAGTAAGCGGACAATTTATGCGCGTCAAAAGTTGATAACTCTTAGGGTATCACCGAATTACACTGGGTCAGTTTAAACTCCTGTCGAAACATACATTAGAAAGATATGTTCTGTCTGTTTGGAGAGTTTGCACGATACAAAGCAAGAGTCGTCGCGTGCAATTACTCCTACCTCTATGCTCAGTCCCGTTGATCAAGGCCATCAGTTTTACAGCGCTTAAATAAATAAATGTGGACCTGATAATCAGTAAGTTGCTTTCCGCTTAAAACTGTGATATTCATTAACGGTCTCTACAAGCACACTCAACTTCACACAAGGACATTCACAAACTTGACTGAAATGAAAACAAAGACAAAACGGCTGTGAATTAAAAAGGTAAAAGAAATCGAAGACAATTGTTTACCGCCTGGTGATAGGGTCTCCACCTAGCGATAGAAACACCTGACCAGACAACTGGGCCACTGGACAAGCACTGGACAACAACTATATGGCAGAGGTGCTGAGAACTTCAAGTATGAAAGCGTTTGTTGATGATACACAGACAAAACTACCATAAACGACACACTACTGAGCTGATTGTGTGGAACAAAAACGACTCAGATAGAAGCCAGACCAACTCACTGATCAATGCACCATCGTCATTTAAATCTTGATCACCCGACTGGTTCAGTATGGCAGCTTGACGTTCCATATCCACGCAAGTCCCAATTTCCTCTTGTTCGGCCAGCCTGTCGCTTTCGGCCAAAAGGGCCTCAAACACATCAACGGCGATGGAGGGTTCTTGAGACGCGGAATCTTCTCGTTCAGCGATCTCTACTAGACGCTGTAGAGTGTCCAGCGAGTGTTGTTTGATTGAAGACTCCTCCTGCCCGTCAGTTATCCCTAATTCAGTCAGTCTAGCTGATAGGTGGACGTTGTATCCTCCCTCGACTTGTTTCAGCCCGATTGGATTGGGCCACGGAACAGTATAACCATTTAGGAACTCGGCTGCCACTTGAGCTTGTCTGGAAACAGTTAGAGAAGAAACAAGCTGGGGTTGACTGACTTAAAACCAGTAGCAAGTAACAGTAAACGCAGTCACTACAGTGGTTCATGTAATGATGAGCATGAACATGAACAGAGCAACAACAATCACCCTGAACTGAATCTCAAAGCACAGAACATTCGAGGCAAAACAGCATGAAATTTTAAGAGGCTGATTCATTTGTTCATTGTATGCAGTACGATATAGGGTGTAAGTAATAGCACAAAGAAAGAGCAGTGAGACGTACAAATGTTCTAACAAAACAGGTTTGCCTACTTTGGATTACTGAAGACCAACAGAGCTATATCAGCTGCCGCGAACTGCACTGACATGACGAGACCTTTTCTTAACCCAGCCACTGTTTTGAGGAGTTCCACAAATTCTGGACGTCTGTGTGGATTGAGTGAGGAGTCATCCAATGCAACAGGCTGTCCGGACTTTGCTTCGGTGAGAAGGACGCGAAGTTGCACAGCTGTATTAAGTGGACCATAGTCGCTGATAGAATCAAGGACAACTTTTCGGCGGGAATCACGTGAGACCTGTGAGAATCAGTGGAGGAACAACCAAGACGGTGAATGTTTGTTGATGACAAATATTGTATATCATGGAAACGGTTCATAGAAGGGAATCACAAGAACACCTGTTCCTGGCGATTTTGGTGACCAGATAGACATCAGAGCTATCCGTCCAACCCATACTTCCCACATCAGTGCTTTGCACCAATCTCGTGTGGCCTAAACCTACCTTGAATTCTCACTCGCAAACTCTGCGGAAAGGTCTATTTTTCCCCTTTTTTGGACAACTTCATACCGTTTGACTCTTCCATAAGAAAAATTCAAAATTTTCGTTGTTGTTCTTAGAAGCACCATGGGCGCTCACGTTCTTTCTGGCTTTTTTAGCCCCTGATTTCTTGGTCGGCCTTGAAGTAATTTGCAGTCGCTGAGACTGCTGAAAAGAACTGATGATTCCAACCGAAGTCGTGGATTACAACGAACAACCCGCAGGACAGCAGACGACAGGTGGATCTTGTAACTTCGCTCAGTTAGTTCGCACTTGCACGTAGGAAACACACAGGTTAACCAAGATGTGGTTCATTTGCGAGTTCAGAGTTCAACCCAGGTTGACCAAATCCAAAAACAGAGACAGCCTATTCATACGGGAATCAAACACTGTTAAATGCCTCGTGTGCTACCATTCTAAGTGGTTTAGGCTTGGAAATTTTCACATGGGCAGATAAACGTCCTCAATCTGTACAAAATAAACCTGAATTTCTTTCATGTAGCACTTCCACCGCAATAAGCCGATGTGGGAACGCTACAGCAATGGAAGGTCGTTTGGTCAGAGAAGATGCGATAATCGGATCAGTCAAACCCAGTGTCTCAAACAGTAAACCCCACTGTACAATGTACTATACGAATTAACGGATGTCGTGTGTTGGTACGGATAAAACGTGAACATGAGGAACTGAGTTGGCTCCCCAATATTTTCGTACTCAGAGGAAACACATAGACAGAATGGAGCATGGGGAATCCGTCGTAAGGAATTAAAGAACTAGGTGAGAAACACAGTCTTCTTCAATTTATTGCACTCATTGTGCTGCTTACTTTGCTAAATCAACGGAATTCATCGGCAGTCGGTAACGAATAATCCGAATGAATATGAATGTAGCTTTATTATTGATGAATGAAGGTACAGTAAGCAGACGACGAAAGTTCATGGCCGGCTGCAGTTCGCAGTTGTTAGATGAACCACCACCGTGGGCCATCAATTGATAACCGTCTTGTCCTGGTAAGGACGAGAATGTTCAGTGTAAGATGGGGTATGTTACCCATTGTTGAACGTGAAGAAAACATTAAGTTCACTAAGACCCACTCACCAGCGATTCGGCTAAAAACTCCGAAACCAACTGCTTGCCCAAAATAAACTCAAGCCACGCTACGCCACACCATGCCACGTCTACGGCTCAGGCGTTTCTACTGGTAACACGTGGCAATTCGGTCGATAAACGGTCAACAGTGGTCAAATAACCAGTAGCTCATTATAAGTATACCTATGTTCACTAGGTGCACCATATGAAATGCGACAACGGAATGCAATTAGTGTAGTACGTGTGTGTAGGATAAAATCCGGTCAATAATGAATAAGCGAATCAGCCCATGAGTGAAGATAGACAGGGTAACAAAATTCCAGAACAATTTCAAGGTTGGGCCATACTAGTGTGTTTACTCGGAGTTCCTTGGTCCTGAGAACATTCACACGGTCTGAGGTACAAAATACTGGTAGCTCCACAAGAAGAATGCATGTCTGTGAACATGAGATTTACCTAGCCAACATATAATAAGCTAAACTCAAGTAGGTTCGGACGTGATAGTCAGGTTAAGGTGAATAAGGTACTAATTAAGGACAGGATGCGGCGGAGATCAGAGTACGAAACAGAACAATACGGAGAGGTAGTGCATGATGCAGTGGCTACATTGTGTCGATTTGTGAAAAGGAACAGACCGGAGGCGATCTATAGAGCACCCTAAATGTCTGTTATTTAACATGAAATCCTTCGAACGCTGAACAATGCCAATGAGATAACAGATGGGTTGTGAATCGATTTCAAAGACGATTGCAAACATTACTGTGTTTAGTCTAGTTTCACTCAGGTGAAAGTTAAGCTAACGTGATAACATGACATGCAGTCATGGAAATCTGGAGCCCGTTGATAAGAAAAGGAAGTTAAATCAACAGAAAAGCATGGAACAGGAACAGAATGATCAGTAAGACATTTGCATCAGTTGCAAATGAAGAAACAGACGAAAACAAAGATAGTATACCCACGACAGGCGGGTGTGACAGTGTGTTTTGCATCCAATACAACCATCTAAACAGTCGGATACAACTGTGTTCTCGTGACAGCCGTCTTCCTACTGAAAGGTTGTGCTTAGCTGATTCTAAGCCTAGTGACATCACTTTCAATCTCAGGTACCGGAGTTCCTGGCGTACACGGTGCAAAATGCGAGCAATACTAAGCTCAGAAAGGAACATTAAAATTATCACACACAGTACTGGTATAAAATACAAAATATCCCCAAGACTGACCCTCAGGAGGCAAGCTAATCCTCAGGAAAGCCCAAAATAGCGTACGACCGGGTGTAATATTTTTCGAATAGAGGCCAAATACTCTTTCTCTGGTGGCTTGTGGATGCACCTCAAATCGAAAGAACTTACTGAAATGTTTACTACAAAACCTATTGAGAAAGTTTGTAAAAAATAGAATAATAGCATCCAAGAACTCTCACAAAATATAAAATCCACCACTCACCACGTGTATATCAATATCAAAAATGGCACCAACTGGACGATGATCGCTGGTCTTCAGTTCAGCACGGTTGTATATAAGTAAGCGGCCTGGGTTCCAAGGATAGTCCTCCACCGAATCCGGTGATGTGACGAGCAGTCCATCTTCCCCCAGTTTTGGAAAACGCAACCGTATACGACGCCACAACACTCGATCAGTCCAAGCAGGCGAGCGAGCCTTTTCTGATGTATCATAATCATCACAAAACAGATCGTACTTGTAGGTTGGTGCGAAGCGGATCATACCCTCATCGAATCCCCGGAATACACTGCCAGCCTGGCGCTCTAAAGTCAGCTGATCGGAGCGCAACAAGTCGAGCCAGCTGGATTGGGCGACAAAGCGTTTCACTTCAGGTGCGGACAAGTTGATTCGATAGTTGAAATCACCACACCAAAACACATAGTCGTGACTGAGAATGCCTTGACCATTCGGAAAACGAAGACGACGAACAATGTCATGGAAGTCTTCGTTTCGCTCGCGTACTGCAGACTGACCGGCAGCAAAATGACTGCACACGAAGCACAGTGAAGTAGATCCCAGCTACAAAGCGCACAGGGTGATTAAAAGGAGGCAGTGTACTACTTTGTTGTTGGGATTCAATTATGCCATGAGGTCAAAATCTCCACGCAAATCGATGGCCGAGTATCTGACAACCACAAAAGTGCGCGGCTTCTCAAATGCGAAGTACGCGGAAAAACAAATTACGATAACTGTGAAAATAGGGACGAATGTATTAGTAGTTGTGCTCCTCAGTGGGGTGTCTGGTAGTGCTGTGGAGCCACACACCCCGACAACATTGACATCTGACGTCAGCTAGACCACTCTACCTTCAGCAGCCAAGCTTCTCAGAACGTGAAGCCTGGGACCGACGCTCAGACTTCAACAATAGCATCCACCTTAGGATCTGGTTAGTAGTCCTCTGAGTTGAGTTGCTCTAGCACGTCCTAAGCGTTGATCTCCGTGAAACCCTAATAACACACTTTGATCAGTGCCTCAGTAGACAAGATGTGGGATGTGAGGTCTCAAGCAGCTTACCATAGGTCCGGATTGGATGGTTTTGGTGTCAATGATCTACGCTGGACCACTGTCCATTCATACCTCCTCTCAATTGACCCTATTCTACTAACGGGATGATCACGTCCAGGTTTCGCGAATTTTATCACTGGATTGATATATAAAAACCAAGAGGATGAAATTTCTTGAGAACTGCCCTGCATTGCCTCACAAGGGAGAATAAGAACAATCTTCAGAAGTTCTGGACCAGACAGGCTCGAATACTACTGAACAAATTGAGAGCTATGTAATGTATGATTTACGAAGCCTAAAACAAGACATATTGTAGTAGAATAGGACGTTATAATCCAACATTGCCAATAAGTTGGGTAATCTTTCCCAATGATTTTTACCATAAATTGAATCAACGTGAGGGATTACAGTGCAGTAGAAATTTGTGCAGTCCTGCAACCCTAAACTTATTCATGGATATCCTTCCAAGTATCATGATATCACACAAGTTTACTACTTCTGGGGAGTTTATTGAAGACAAGGCAGGATCAGTAATGGAGAGGCATAAACTCCAGTTTTAGACGGTTTTCAAGCACGCTGTCTTCATTATGCTATTAATTTGATGATGCACTCTTGAAAGAGGCTATCCTGATAACTAGAAAGTGGGGAAAACCAATAGAGCATAGAACTCACAACAGTTCAGTAAATTCCAAACTTAAGCGGTGCGTTTCATCGGCATATCTGGATACAATATGAAAGTTAATTCTCATGCTCGTTCAGCTGTAGCAACATTTCGGTGCCTAATTGGATGCCACCAGAAGGATGCACGAGGGCTGGGATAATGCCAGGTTGCCCAAGCCTAGACAGGGAAAGTCGAGAGGCAGAGGTCGGTTTCGAACCACGAACCTTCCGGTCAGTAAATTCGCGCTTTAACCACTGAGCCATTTCGCCCCCGTCCTCCTGTTTTTGGATGTGATAGTTGACTAATATACCGCTATTATTTTTCCGAAGGATTTGTATTCGTCACTCTGTACATAGATAACTATTAACCAGTCAGACAGTTCGAAGGAACGTTAACAGAAACTGAAAAATAACAGTAGCTCGGTTTTAGTGCCTCGAGAAAAGCTGCAGGGTACCGGCCCTAATTACCAGGATCTTACGAAAAAAATCAAGCATTTGGGTCCATACCGGCATTTTATTCTTCATTGAACGAGAGTTACATTTCAGTTACATTTCCAGTAAAGGGATTCTATCACACATGACAGTGGTCCAATATCAGGCAGATTTCCGGGGCAAAAAATTACGTTTACCAACCTGTCGCAACCATGATGTCTGCGAGCCATCTACCCTTTTCTGAAGGTGCGTATTCAGAGCTGCGATTCGCTTTAATTCGAACTACCACCGTGAAGTTTGATAATTCGCGCTAAGCATGCTCGTGGGCTGAATATGACAAAGTGTTTGAGCACTGTTGCCCACATAAGAGATAAAACCGAGCTGAAGGTGATGAAATCTTATATCGGTTAGATATTATCAGTCCGGTATAAATTCATAACTTAGAGTAAGATGACTTAGACATGCACTTCCGCTGGTTGAACAGGATTTTTCACCACACCTGGCTGGAGGAAAAGGGTGGACAGACGATGACATGCAGTATGGACAAGAAGAGGCCTTGTTTGCCTCCCAGAAGAGAGATCCGGGGAAAATAAAACTTGTCCAGTGGCGTAGGTGCCGTTCTTTTTGTTATGAGCTAAAACCCACGCGAAATAAACAAGAAGGTTCAATCAACCGGTGCATCGAACTGGATCCAATTTATGCACCTCTACGTGAGAGAGATCAACATCGCAACCGAAACACTCAAGGAGGACCGAATAATGGATTAACAAACGAAGAAACAAGGAACTCCTCGGAATCAAATCAATAAAGGTCAGAACGGAACTCGGAAGGACAAAGGTCAATCCAACACCGACCAGACTACGACGGCGAGGGATGCCGAATACCAAGGTCACATGGGCATCGGCGAATGAGGACACGGGATAAAAGAACAACCAATGGAACCGCCCGACAGAATAACTAAGCGCGGTCAAAGGTCATCCCCGACTACCAGCACGTATATCAACACACACGTAACACTACTGAACGCACAACCACTAACCCACCGCTACGCACAACTACGCACTGATGATGTCACCTCGATTGGTGATGAAACGTTTGCAACCAAATTGCCCAGCTCAGCGAACATGCCAACGACCATGTCTACAATCCATTCAGAAAATAAGTATCAATTCAGGGGAATAAAATCATAACCAGCTGATGACCAAAGCAAACCGTTGGATGTGAAAGATAGACTGGTGATCCGAGTAACGCCCAAGCCAGGTTTGTATGGCCAACTGTGTAGTCATTAAGAGGCTTGGTTTGTGAAACGGTGGCAACAAAATATCACCACTAGCATGACCGCAGATTCAACATACTGAAAATATTAAGGCAGGACATGCACATATCGCTTAGGTATGGACGCCTTGATGTGGTCCCTGGTGCTAGCGTTTGGGTTTTCAGCCAGCGTTGATAGAGTAGTGAGTGAGTGCGATCATTCTGAAAGGAGTACACATTCTCATTCTGGCCAGACTAACATCCTCATTGAATTATAAATCGGAATCGAGTGCTCTCCTCCAATCTAGCAGGGGAGATCATATCAAAACATGAAGGCTTTTCAAGTAAGCGAGATTTCGACCGACCCATCAAGTTCTTGCTCATGAACCACGTGCTTTAGTGTGTTCAACAAAGCTGACCTTTTAAACTCATCGGGCTGTCGACAATTGTAATGGTACGGCAGAATGGTACGCGAGAAAGAAAGCATAATAATACGATTCTGACTAGTTTGAAGCTTAGATTTTATCACACTAAAGGCCTCACATAATAAAGTTATCAGCAGGCTGCTTGAGGAATTTGTGGTAGCCTTGATGTTCTAGTCGTAAACGTAGCCGGTTAATCGATCATCTAATCAACATCACGTTTGATTTCATCGTATCGACGTTAGACACTTCGTCGTTGGAACAGCGTTGACTTCGGTTTGACTGCATGTACACCAAAAACATATGAATGATCGTAAGTGGATATCGGCTAATGATTCTACTCCGATTTCAGATCCCAGGTTACCGGTAAGAATCCCTATTACGCTGTGCGTATACACCCATGACCTGACAATAGGATTAAGGAAACCACGACCAATTATTTCACAATTGACGCCAGGGCTAGTGGAAAAGCTGTCTACCGACGATTACTATAATATCATGAAATACCTGCTATTTTGGTTGATTTGTATGCAAGTATTGATGACATACAACCCGGCTTACTAAGCTTCAGCTCCTAGGGTTTCTCTCTGCTTACCATCCAAAGAGATGGTAGCGAATCTTTGGATCATCACTGTCCCACAGTGCTTTCACAGAGTGCATATTATGCTACGCATGTTGAGTTTACATCTGTCAATGACACCATGTCATAAACCGATACCAATGAAGTGGGAGGTTGGGTGACCACTGGTTGCTAGTATCAGCGTCTGAAAATGGTCCACAGGGTTGAATCCGATTCGCAGAAAATGCATCGTCAGGAAACGAAGGTATGAAGACAAAAATGCTGGAGAGAGCAGCGCTTCAAATACAGTAATCCTCCAACCATGAGGAAAGGGATTACAAGGTAGTGGCCGTGAAGAAGTAAAATGTTGTACGGAAGACCGAGTGTGACAGCGGATGCCACTATGTCCCCTCCTACCAAACTGGTGTGCAGCTCATAAACGAAAGTGTGTAGGTGGCTGAAAACAGATTGAACACTAGAATATGTGAACCAGTGTGCATTCTGGACCAAAGTCTCTCAACATCTGAGGCCGGATAAGTGAAAGGAAATCCGTTCACTAGTGCAGTTCACCCTAATCACAACGGCATTTTCAATTTTGAGCAAAACACCCCGGGAACAGAGGATGTTGGATTAAACCAGTTTAACTCAGTAGCAAGCCTGAACCCAAACCTACTAACAAATTCCTCTGTCGGAAACAGCAGGTGAGCGCTCCACAGTGAAGTATGGGTGGGGAGTTTCCAGTAGCGAGGACTATTTGACACGCTTTTTTTTCAAAAAAGCTGTTTACTGTTGATGTCTGCTTTGTTCTACAGATGGAATCGTGCTGGGGCTAAATCCCCCCACTGACGATTTTCCAACTCGGTCCGGTTGTGAAATATTCATGAGTGCCTATCTCATCCTCATTCATATTACTGACTATCCAGCCTTCTCCAGTGTCACATTGGCAATCTCTATGTATGTGCCATTAGTTCAATGAGGAAGCTCGTCAGAGTCACCTGCCAGATGGATTTCGGCATCTTAAGGCAAAGCAGCGGTGAGTGTTGGACTATTATGGCCCAATGAAGTTCCGTAGAATCTGGTGCATTCTGAAAAGCTTAGCAAGTGTGCCGACTCAAGTGACCTCGAAGCTAATAGGCTTCTGTAATTGAATTTGAAGGAGTTGTATATGCAAATCAGTGAAAGGTGAT